TTTAGTCTAAATATTCGAACTTCGAACTACTCCATTCTACAACGATAATCAGGGGAGGCATCACACAATATTGAGAAAGTAAACGTAGAGGAAAATTGAATTATACGACCAAGGCATTATACATTTTGTAATATTATATTCCAACAACTGTATGAAAAAAAAATACACTAGTAACCACTAGAGGCATCGGTTACTGATTTAAAATTAATTCCGTTCAGTTTTCGAATTGCTTTTAGAACAGCAAATAAATAATACGATTATTTATTTTCTATTTTTTTTTTCGAAAAGCCATCGAAATGTGTATACAATTTGATTGATATAGGTACCTATTAGGACGATAGGCAGGTGGAAGTGTCGATTTTGTGTTCAACTTTTATTTTCAGTGGAACCTGGTTGTTGTATGCTATTTTTTTTATTTTTATGATCTACCGTATTTTTTCTCACTGTAAAATAAAATTTGGTGAAAAAAACACACAACATGGAAGAGTAGTCTTGTCAGCTGCAGGATTATCACGAATAATATTTATAGGCATATAATATGCTAATAATATTATACTGACTCCGTATCGTATAATATTGTATAATATACAGAACACGAACGTGTATGAAACACTGTGTGCGGTACCTATCCAAAAACAAAAAATACAACTCCCGAAGGTTGTGTAAAACTTTTTACATGGCCCAGAGGTGACAACAGTTTAATAATTCAATCGTTTACATAGTTAGTATATACACTACGGCGTGTTTATAAATGGATATAATTAGTTAAATATTTAACAGGCTAATTGATTTTCTAAATATGTTGTTGTGCACGGATACTACTAAAACATTAATTATAATATGTAAAACACAAAATGTTGTAATTGTTGATTAGTCAACAATTGTCCATTGCACCTATTATATTACTTTTTTTAATTTTATTACTATCCGATTTACGATTGAAAAATCATTTATTTACTTGTATCCGTATTAAGTAGGTATCTATAAGTTTATGTCACCTATAAATAAAATAATTATATAATACACATAGTTTCAATTCAGCTAAATAACAATACAAATATAATATGGAATTGAGAATTGAGAATTACACTAGTAATTTTCTTATAATATTCAATACATTATATTCAACCTATCTCTGTAACAATTCTTAGTCGATATGATCCCTAAAAGCATATAAATCGAAAAACAATACCTACTTATGTCATTTAAATACCAACATTTTTTTTTAATCAAAATTAATTTTTATTTGCTATGGTTTTACTTCCATTCACAATACATCAAAAATCCACATTTCATTTTCTTGTGGCTTACACAATGTGTTTATTCACCATTCATAAGGTTTACGAGTAAATTATTATTTTTATGTTTGCTGCAAATGTATTTAATTAAATTGATACATATATATAATTCCAGATTTTCTAATATTGAAAGAAAACATAATATTATGGTCATTAAATTTTGCTTTGGTACTTAAGTAATACTAAGTAAAAATATACATTTATACCAATAACTTAAGCATTTACAATAATATGATCTAATATAAAAATATTCTGGATATTAAATAATAATAAAATAAAATATTGAAGTAACGAAAACGTATAATTTAATGTATATTTTGTTGAATAAAATGAAACCTTTAAATTTATAAACTTTAAATTTAAGCCTTTTTTTATGCCTCTGTAAATAAGTTTTATGGTTATATCAAATTTAATATAGATGTATTAACAGAGTTGAAAATTTAAAATTTTGTAATTTGCTCATGAATTGAAAAATATTGATAAAAATTGATACAATTTTTTAATTTTGTGTAAATGTCATAGTCTATTGGTATACAAATTAGGCTTAATAAGATTTATATTTTCATAAAGCTTCATTATCACACAGTATTTAAAAGCTAGCCTACCTATTATAGATATTCCGTAATATTACTTTATGTACCTATTTCATATATTTTTAAGCAAAATCTCTCCATAATGTCGTTTAAAAGGTTTTATGTATACTTCTTAGTAAACATTGTAGGTAAAAACATTACTTTTGGTCAAAGGAATACATTAAAGGTTTCCGGGTATCCATAGGTAAATAAGTAAATTAGTTTCATAAATATAGAAAAGTAATACCTGATTTTGAAGTAGGTACCTATATCGCTATAGAAACCATCAAACGATAAAACATAATATATTTTATCAACATAATAAGAATAAATAAAAACATTACAATAGATTATACTCGATAAGAATTTTAAATAAATAATAGTGATGGTCATTAAATCATAAACCATCTTTAAGCAATTAATTATTGCATTGTTTCGATTGTAAAACAAGCAATGAGCCTTATTAAACAATCATTATTTTATTTCTAGAATAAAATTATTAATTATTGATAAATTAATGTGTTTTCCATTAAAAGTAATTAAATAATAAAAACAATTTTTCAAAGTTATTCTTACTATAGAATGTTGACATTTAAGATCATTTAAAAAAATGTACATACAATTTATTATTCCTTAGCATAAATATAGGTTACTTATATATCATTGATAATGATAAAAGAGACATAAAATATACGGATCTTATAAATATTGCAATAGAACTAAAAATAAAATTTGTACTTTCATTCGACATCTTTAAGTGGGAAATTTTATACCTATTAAAATTATTGGCCTCCGATAAAATATATTGGAAAGAGGTTTATTCACAGTAAAGAAGCAACCGCAACGTAGTCTATTATAAATAATTCAATAATCGTATTATATTTTATATAAACACCAATGTATCATTTATCATTTTTCCTGTTAAATAATCATTCGTTTCATTTCCTTGACCTAAAAATACTGAATTGTAAGTTATCTATCATTCAAACCGAAATTTTACTTTTATCAACTTATTAGTTGTAAGTCTGAGAAATGTCTAACTTTTCATTAAAAAATATGTGAATAATGGGACTTATTTAAATAAATATAAAGATATATGCTTTGTAGAATTTTATACTTAATTTGACATAAATTATGGCATCATTATATTTTATATTATTTAATATGTAAGACGCAAGTGTTATCATAATATACCATGTTATTATAAGTATGATATTATTTAAAATATTATTAACCTATGTGGTGATTGTTATACAACGAGCAAATTTAGAAAACAATTTAGAAACAAATAAATAGGTACTTATTTTATAGAAACTTTCATTAAATGTAAATTATATTACTACTAAATTATTTCTACTAATGCAATAGGTATTTAAAAAACCTTTAATTGTTTGAACAAATAAATTATTTTATTTTATTCAATATGATGTTTTACCAAAGTCTTTTATTTCTATTACCAATTTCTATAATACTAATTTCATTCTTAATTGTGGTCTTAATACTTTGTAAAAAGAAGATATCAAATATTAATCTCTTAGTGAATTTAAATAATTTTTAATAAAGCAATTTAAAGTTGAATTTACTCTTTAAATTGTTGTAATAAAATACTAGAACAACAACAAGTGATAAAACTCAACGACTTCAATAAAACTTTAAGTTATAAGATGTACACGTGATGTGATCTCAATAATAATAATTATTATTATTGTAGGGTTTCAGTTTCAATAGCAATTTCATTTTGATGTTGAATTCATTTGGTATGTAATTTAAAAACGCACTGCCTCCTTGGGGATAAAAATAATGTATCGATTGCTAATGAAGAGATAATATAATGATAACATGGAAAGTTACGTATATACAATTTAATATATTCATAACATGAATAAAGAGATCAACGAAATATGGAAGACCAAATTATAAAAATATTTCTATTAAATTATTTCGTAAATGGTTAATTAACTATAATATATATTTACTTGTACAAAATTACAATCTCTAGAAAAGTTATATTAAGGTATTTGTATTTCTAATTTCATACTTTACCGATATTGTACTTAAATCGATAAATAAATTTACGATGTACATGTCATACAAAAAATAAACTATTATTTTGTTATCCGTAAGGTAAACTAACATGTAAAACTAAATGTTGTTATTATTAATTCACAAAATATCATAATTTATAAAATAAATGTTTCTATATTATTATATTATTATTAATAATGGTCGTTTTAGCTATATAAATGACTTACAAAATGTACGAATCAGAATGAGAATTAAACTAGAATAAACAAACCCTGATCTCTGAGATCAAATAACAGTATGAAATGGAACATTGAGTTAGGTACTAATTAAATCTGTAAATTACATGTAATCATCTCAAAATTAATTGTTGTGATTATTCATTTTCTTTCTGAATCACGTAAAAATTTACTAAAAAGTTTAACGAACTAACCTGTTCTTTCAGTTAATTTTCAGTGGATACAAGTACATGTACTCTATCCGATAAAGATGAGTTTTCGAACTTAAAAGTAACAACTATTGAGGAGAAAATTAACGCAATAGGTAGCTCAGAATGCTATCACTAAGATACCATCAACAATGAATTAATTGCTGAGTTAAAGGATAGAAAAGATGAACAAATAAATAAATTAGGTACTATTTGTAACGGAGCTACCGAGGCCGATGCTCCGTCACTTTAATAATTTATACAAGTGGGCTTTTCTGTAATTACTCAATTTATTTTACATGAACATATAGTTACAAATAAGAGGGTTTTGACTACTCACGTTCCCGTGACTATCTGATACGGGTACTGTTGTATTACTTTATAAGGAAAAAGTAATAAATGACAATAGTAATGACAAAATATATTATTATATTAACAAAATAAGTCTTAGTGATGTGACGTATAAAAAGTGACTGTGCTGGTCTAGTCCTCGACACACACACACACACACCGAGGGCAGTGGTACCACAACATGCCCCTTTTTTTTTTAAAAAAGTACATAGTAACATTTCATGACAAAATACATAATTATTATAGATTATTATACATAAGAAATAATAACATTTTTTTTTTTTTAAAATAACAAATATTAAGTTATACATCAGAAATTATTATTAACGTTTAGTTTAAGAATCTTTTTGGTTTAACAATATTTCTACCAAACCTATTTTTTGTCTCTGCCTGTAAATTGATTTCAATAGACTTTTCATTTTTATTTTTATTTTCAGATTTTAATGCAGATTTAATAATAAACTTTCTATTTCTTCTATAGATTTTACCATTATCTGCTTCAACTCTATAGGATCTAGGTTGAGCACAGACTTCAACTATTTTACCATTACTCCACGTACTGTTAGGTTTAATTTTAAATAATATTTTATCATTTTGCTTTAATTGGGACAGTTGCTTGGTATTTTTATTATAATGGGACATTACTTTATCAGTTTTGGTGGAAATTTGTTTATTGTGATTTTCTACTTCCACTAATTTTGGTTTCAGACTAGACAATTTGATAGGAATCTTAGTTCTAAGATTCCTTGACATAAGTAGCTGTGCAGGAGAGCATAAACTATTGTTAGCAGTGTTACGATACTGCATTAATGCAATGTATGGGTCTGTACCTGTATCCGAGGACTTTTTAAGTAACTTTTTCACTATCTGTACACATCTTTCTGCTAATCCATTAGACTGTGGATAGTTTGGGCTAGAAGTGACAATATTTATACCCCAATCCGAACAAAACAATTTAAATTCAGCAGCATTAAAAGGTGGTCCATTATCCGATATTATCTCCATCGGTATACCAAATCGGGCAAAAATAGATTTTAATTGAGTAATAACTAATTTTGCATGTGAACCCTTGGACAAATGTGCTATTTCAATAAATTTTGAATAGTAATCGACTACCAATAAATAAGTTTTATCATTGTGGTGAAATAAATCTATACCTAGTTTTTGCCAAGGTAGGTCTGGTACAGCATGACTAATCATTGGTTCCTTAGCATTGTTGTTCCGATACTTAAGGCACACCTCACAACTTTCTACAATATTTTTAATGTCATTGCTTATACCTGGCCAGAATAATACATCTTTTATTTGATTTCTACAACGTTCAATGCCCATGTGACCTTCATGAATAAGTTTTAACATGTCAGACCTAAGTTTAGTAGGGACCACTAGACAATTACCCTTAAAGACTAAGTCATCAATAACATGAATTTCATCTCTGAAAGTCCAAAAAGGTTTGAGAGAATTTTCAAGAAGAGACTTATTTAAAGGCCATCCTGACTTGCAGATATTTTTAATTTTCTGAAATATTGAATCATTTAAAGTCTCATTTTTTATTTTGTCAAGATATTGTTTCCCTATGGCTAGATTTTCAGAAAATACCTGAACTTGCAAGATTAATTCTTCATCTATATTGTCCTCATCTGAGTCAGGAAGTGGGGCCCTTGACAATGTATCAGCTAATACCATGAGTTTACCAGGGACATATTCAACATTAAGATGATAAGACTGAATATTTAACATCATACGCTGTAATCTAGTAGGGACTGAATGTAAAGCCTTTTTGAACAGTGAAACTAAAGGCTTATGGTCTGTTTGAACTTTGACAACCTGACCGTATAAGTATTGGTGAAACCTTTTACAACCAAAAACAATTGCATACAATTCTTTTTCTATTTGAGCATAGTTTTGTTGTGCAGAAGTGAGGGTTTGTGAAGCGTAAGCACAAGGCTTGTCGTTCTGTAAAATGACTGCTCCAACTGCAAATTGAGATGCATCAACTGACAATGTTAGTGGTATCGACGGATCATAATAAGATAAGACAGGAGCAGTTGTAATACTGTTTTTAACCTTGTTAAACATAGACTCATAGTTTTCATCCCATACCCATGATGTATTCTTTTTAAGCAGTGATCGCAAAAGTGTTGTCTCATCAGCTAATTTAGGAATATATGAACTTAAATAATTTATCATGCCCAGAAATCTTTGTAAATCTTTAACTGACTTGGGAGAAGGCATATTGACAATGGCTTTAATTTTATCAGGATCAGGTTTAACCCCTTCACTATTAAAAACATGACCCAAGAATTTTACTTCAGTAACACCTATTATACATTTACTTTTATTAAATTTTAGATTAACTTCCCTTGCTCTGTCCAACACTTTCTTAAGTCGTTGATTGTGCTCTTCTAGAGTTGTACCTGTTATAATTAAGTCATCAATATATACAATAACTCCAACAATATCAGAGAACAGTTCAGTAATAATACGATGAAAAATTTCAGGTGCACAGTTAAGACCATATGGCAACCTGAGAAATTTATACCTACCGAAAGGTGTATTGAATGTACAGAGCTCAGAGCTTTTTTCATCAAGTGGTATCATCCAAAACCCCGAGTTGGCATCTAGTGTTGAAAAAAATTTAGTGCCACTCAATTGAGTTTTAACTGCCTCAAAAGTAGGAAGAGGGTAATGTGACCGACTAATTGCTCTATTCAAATTTCTAGGATCTAAGCATATTCTTAATTTATTATTTTTCTTCTTCACTATGACTATTGAACTAACCCATGACGTTGGTGATGCAATTCTCTCTATAACTTTTAAATAACACATATTATCCAGTTCTTTACGAAGTTGTTCATACAGAGCAAAAGGAATTTTACGGGGTGCATCAATAATAGGTTCAACCTCATTGTTGATATGAATATGACATTTTATAGGTAGACAACCTAGACCTTCAAATATATCATTATAATATTTTAGTACACTGTGGCTAGAGTTATTGTTAACAACATTGACTCGTTGTAGTAGATTAAGTTGTTGGCACGATGCCAAACCTAACACTGTTATGCAATCAAAATCTACTATAAAGAATGTAATGACTTCAATACTATTTTTATAACAACATCTGAGACTACATGTACCTAGTGTGGGAATATCTATGGAGTGTATTGACATAAGCTTGGTTGTATTTTTTTTTATGATAGAGGCTTCACTAACTTTAAGTTTTAATAAGTTATGAAGAGACATTATATTAGCTTGTGCACCAGTATCAAGTAGGCCACTTATAGGAATATTATTGATATATAAATCAATTTGCCATGTTTGAGAACTATTGTTACTTATAGTATAAACAGTACCGACAAATAATTGATCAGTTTCTGATTCATTATTACTTTCTATTGAAACCACTTTGACAGACTTCGACTTACAAAATTTAGCAAAATGATTATAATTTTTACAGTTATTGCATTGTACACCAAACGCAGGACATTTAAATTTATGTATTTGTCCACACCGAGTACAATTATTACTTTTACTACTGACATACTTACCATTATTGTTCCTTTTCTGTGCACTTGACAACTCCCTCTTTTGACTTGTGTTCCTTTGAGATGACCATTTTGATTTTGACTGTGAATTTTTCCTTGAACGACTTGAAGATACTTTGGTTGTTTGAACTGTCAGCACCTCTTCACTGGGATTATTTAATTGTTCCGTACGATGTTTAGATAATTCCATCGATGAACATATTTTTAAAGCCTTATCAAGAGACAGTTCATCTTCTCTTAATAAATGTTGCTTTAATTGTTGCCAATTATTATGTAGACCAAATATAAGTACGTCTTTAACAAGACTCTCACGCAGTGTATCAAATTCGCAAGACATGCTTAAATTTTTTAAATCTGCTACGTATTCACTGATGTTTTCATCTGCAGACTGCAGTCTAGTGAAAAATTTATGACGCTCGATAGTAACATTTTTGCGAGGAATAAAGTAGTCAGCAAAACAAGAGATAACTGTTTCCAGTGTAACTGTTTTAATATCCTGATTAAATGAATTAAATATTTTGAGCGCTGGCTTACCGATGAAATGTAAGAATATTGACACTTTTCTAAACTCTTTTAGTGAATCATACCCACTGGCAGTCATATAAATATTGAAGTCTTGTATCCATTCATTCCAGTTTTGGCATAAATTACCTTCCACAGATAGTGGCGGTAGATTACCAGTCAATCCAGTCATATTGTGGTTAAATTGGTATTGATGATATTATGGAGATGACGTAAAAAAAAAATGAAAAATGAAAAAAAAAAAAAAATGTGCTTTTTTTTTTTTACATGACGATACACAATGGATAACGACAGTTAGGTTAGGTTACCTATGGTGAGATGACGTTATTTTATTCTACGGAAGACACAGGATCGATGACACCTGACACCATGTTGTATTACTTTATAAGGAAAAAGTAATAAATGACAATAGTAATGACAAAATATATTATTATATTAACAAAATAAGTCTTAGTGATGTGACGTATAAAAAGTGACTGTGCTGGTCTAGTCCTCGACACACACACACACACACCGAGGGCAGTGGTACCACAACAGGTACGAGGTAGTCTTACACAACCGGGTATAGTATGTTTTTATTACACATTATCGGGACGGCCCGGATGGCTATGATCAGCCCGCTCGAAAAAGGGGCGTTGATCACTAGGCCCGGGCGGAAAGCGTGGCCTAGGCAGGCGCGCTTGGGGGGACTGACTGTGCGTCGTGGGTGGCCCTGAAAAGGACCGTTTAAATTTCCACCGAGTATACGGGCTGATGCGTGGTTCTTTGACGCACTCCGGGTTGGTTGGTGAACTTGAGGATAGTCGTCGGCTCCTTGGACGATGGTTGGTAGCCAAGAGTTCGTATCGCTGCTTCGTATCGGGTCAGCCCCGCTCCACTGTCTTGATCCGTCGGCGTTGTCGGCGGCTGTCGTCGTCCGATGGTCTGGACTGAACCGGTCGAGCTTGGGGCAGTCTTCACTAGCGGTGTCCGGTTGTGGCGGTCGCGGCGTTCCTCTTCGGTGTCGGTCGTTCTCCTCTTATCCTTCAATAGACGGCAGAGTGTGTTGGTTTCTGAAGTCTTGATGTTTTGAAGGTTGAAAGAGTACTGTTGCTCGGTCGGTAAAATGTACCCGTATATATACGCGTTGACCGTTCCGAGCGCTATCTTCATTGGTGGTTGTCTTTGGTTTGACGGATGAATGTGACATCGATCTTATGGACTGTTCGGTATCATCGATGTCATTTTCACTCGGCATTTTTGTAATTTTTGTTATTGTTGAAATTACTTTACTTTGCCATAGTGTAGTATTTGGTGGCCGTGAAAACGGCCGTTTTATGTGTTGTGGTTTGTACCGTATCATATTTAATAACTCTGATTCAACCACCGTAAAAGATGTTTTAAAGTTTTTTTTAATACAAGTTCAGTCAACTTACAGTTTCTCACCTTGTCACCTTGGATATCTCTCTTCTGCGTCTACAGATTATGTTTTTTGTATCAATGGAAAATCTTATCCATATTCAAATCTTAACATTAATTAAAGTTTCGTCTAACACGGAAGAATCTCAATGCTAAAATTAAAAATACTAAATTATTTGAAATTTTCTAATATTTGAGCTGAATGTACACTTTGTAGTTAAATTAATATTTATCAAATGTATTTACAGAAGGTTAAAAGATCAATAAAATTAAAACCCAGTCAATCTTGTTCGCTGGAATGTGGAACTTCTAATGACAGACAAAGTATTGTTTATTTATTTAGACGTTATTACGTGTCTATTTTTAAAACAAATTTTATTCCAGGTAATGTTAAACATCATATTATCGTATTTTAGTTTATTAAACCTATTAATAAATGTAAAATCAAATGAATTGATGAATTCCATAAATTAAATACACTAAATTAAAAAACTTGTATTGGTCTTTCCTATTGCCCATATTCTTGAATACCTGAATGTGTATTCTTTCACCCACTGATACTTTTATTTTTAATAATTATATTAATAGCGTTTCCCCTCTATTAGGAAATCTACATATTACATCAACCCAATTTTCAAAAAGGGAGATCTTAAGTGTCGAATTGTCACGAAACCTAACCTATATTCATAATTTTTATCCTTTAAAAATATTTCCTGAAATTCTAAATTTCACACTTACCCCTATTTAATTTTAACCCTTGGACCCTGAGTAACATTATTTATTCAGTAATACATCAACTATTATTAATTTAATCTATTTTAAACCTTTTATTTTTAACTTTTCCTCCAATGTCCATCAAACTGATAATCTGTTTAAGTTGGTAGTATTATACAACATCTTTGAAAAAGATTTTTATAGAATAACCCATCAATTCTTAATTAATAAACTTACAACAATTGGTTTTGCTAATCTTTGCGACTTTGTTATCTTGGTTTAATTCTTTCTTAACTTAAAGATGTACATTTGTTAAAAATAACATTTTTATTTCAAATTCAATCTTAGTAATTTTAGATGTTTCTCATTCACATTTCTTCACTCTTATTAAATTGATGTATTAATGATTGTTTTTTTCAATACATCCTTCTAATAATCCATATTTTGCTGATAATGCAATGATTTTTTTTAATAAGAAAATGCCAAAATTCTGAAAAATCAATTAAATTTTGCTATTATTTGATATTCACAGTATTATCCACTGATGTATTTAAAATGTTATATTACCTATTAATTTTAACAAATGATGATTCATCTCATTTCAGAAAAAAATGTAGACGTATTAATTTTAGTAACAGTTTAGGTTACGCTATTATTTATTTCAATCTTCTCAAATCAAGGATCTAGAAATAATTGTTGACACTAAACTTATATATTTTTGATTCTATTTTTTTTTCTATGAATACTAGAGCTCTAACCTAACCTTTGCATGGCAAAGCACAATTGTTCTAATATTAAAGATCCATTCTCACTAAAAAGTCTTACCATATAAATCGTTACCAAGCATAATATATATCTTAAATTATAATATGAGGTACATATTATGATATTGATTAGTGATTACTATATTCAATATGCCCAACATTGAAGAAATCTTATTTTTGTTTATTTTAAAATTTATTTTATTTGATCCCATCACTCTATTTATTATGATATGTTTGAATATTTAAAGTGTAATTCCTTAAAAGATAGAAGAATCCTTCATGTACAACTTTTCTGTATAAAACATCCACCTACTTAATAATAAATCATCGACGACATATTTCTATACTTAGCCAAATTAACTACAAAATCAATAAACATAATATTCGCTATAAAAATATATAAATATTTTGTTATCTCTTGGTATTACACTGGATTATTCAGGCAGTAAAATAAATTGTTATTGTATTTTCTTAACTTATTTTTCGTATGATTTAAGTAACAACCAACTAATTAACTGACTTTTAAAACATGTTTCGTACATAACTTCTGTTTGATATTTTGATCTATGTATTAAGAAAAAATAAAATTGTTTTATGTATTACACAGGCTTACTGTCTGTTGTAAAAAAAATGAATTAAGAAATAAAAACTAATTAAATTCAAATGTTTTTTTAATTTAAAAAATACGCTATTAGGGCCACACTTTAAAAAAAACCAAATAAACTGTACATTATTTTCTAAAAAACTTATCAGGTATCTAATAAAATAATTAATAATAATATTGAATCGTTCATCAACAAAAGTATTTAGAAATGTGATTTAAATTGTTATTCAAACTATTAAATATTTGGCTCGGTTCTAAAATTAAACAGCTTACAACAATAGCAGATCCAGAATTATTTTGGGGGGCCCATTGTCTTTTTCCAAAAAAAAATATTTAAAAACGGCTAAATTGATGAACATGGATGCTAAGCCAATTGGTGGGGCAGGCCTCTATGCCCCCCTTTAGATTCCCTAATGGTTTCCAACATCCCAAAATAAATAAGCAGTAGTTATTGATGAAATTGTAAAAATACAAATATTCTGATAAACTATAATTATGTTTTGGGTTATTAATGAAAAAAAAAATATATTAATTAACTATAAATATTTATATTTATTCAAACAAAAGATATAAGCATTTTGGAAAAAGTTGGCTGAACAAATGATAAACTTGAGAGAAATGAAAAAAGCTTTTAGAATTATAATTTAGTTTACACTTAGCACTTCTTTTATATCTATCTGAGTGTTTATTTAATAAAATATGTATATATAAAAAAAAGACATTTTTGAATAATTTTAATTGTATTAATAATAATAATTTATAGTAGGTACCTATATACTATTGCGTAGTGCAAAGTTATACTGAACGCAGTCCATATTTTATATTTAAATTTAACACTGGTTGAATGGAAGTGTAAGTACCAAAATAATAGTATTTATAAATTATAATGGTATATTATTTGGTATATACAATTGAATAATAACATGTATTAATTGCAATTATTACGCGTTTATTAAGCCTAAGCATTACCAATTTACTTTCATAAAATAAAGTTTAAGTTATACACAAGTTACAATGAATTTATTTAAATATTAAAGAAACTTAATAAACGTTTTTTTTAAAGTAAAAATGATATTTTTCTTATTAGTAAAATTACTTGTAAATTATTTTAAAAAAAACATTCAATTCAGAAATAAAATTAACAAAACATTTAAACAATTAATAGTTTAAATTTAACACACACATCAAACAAAATGAATATTAAATACAAATCAAGTTTATTATCTACTTTTAAAATATACAAAATAATACATATAAAATTGTGTATTAGTTAATTACATGCTTTCAAAAAAAATATTTAAAAATATTTAACAATTGTCAGTTAGTTATTTATTTAAATGGGTCGAGCCTAATATAGAAAATAGTAATTATTATAATTTATAACTATCAATACATTAACACAATTATAGAAAGAAAAAAAAGAAAATAATGGTTAGAAAAATTCTTACCTAGAGGTTATTAATTAGATGGAATTCAACAAGTAATTAATATATTGACACTATTAATTTGGCTTTTTCATATGAAATTACAAACTTTATTGAAAGTCAATATTATAATTATAATACTAGTATAAATTTTTTATCAGATTTAAAATGTCTCATTCCAATGAAAATATGTATTTACAATAAAGTCGGTTCCCTATTTATAACTAACAATTCAGCTAGTACCTACCATGTTCCAAAAAATAATGTA